TAAGAAAAGAGGACTCGTCTTTTCTAATATCTTGACCAGAAGATTTTGAATATCTATATCAAGAGATAGACACAATGATGTGATCATCCCTGAGGAGCAATATGACCTGGTGGTGAGACACCATCGCTCCAGCCATAGGCACTTGCCTCTCTCCTCTCTCTGTTCCATCATCCCCTCTCCATTTTCCTCTTTTGTCTTCTCCCTTGGCTGTTCTAAAACACTTCCCCAAGGCAGGCAGCTACCCACTAGAATTGCTTAGTTTCCTGATGTCAATACCGAGGCTGATTCTGAGCCTGAAGGGAAGAAATCTAGGGAGAACTTTTATCTACCTTCCAGCAATCCACTGAATTATATAGTCAGTCCAGTAAGAACATGAATACCAGAATGAGACTTCTTCATTCATCACTCACTCACTCATTCATTCATTCCATTTATTCAACAAACACATAATAAGCACTTTTTATATTTCAAGCATTCTTGCATATCCTGGTGATACAAAAATAGTCACTGACCTCAAAAAGATCGCAGGAAGCAACTTTTCTCAAGTGCTGTTCCCTAGAATACCAGTTTTTCAGTATAATAATCATTATATGAGGGAAGAAGGGCTATATGTGGTCAGATAAATTGGGGAACCCCTGCACTAAAGAAAGCTAAATGGACTTCTTTATTTCAGGACTTCCGAGTGCCTTTAATATAATTGTGTTAATATGTATTATGGCATTCTTCAGATTATTCAAATACCAGACTATTTGTAAACATGCACAGTGATACATGACTAACAAAAGTGTGAAATAAATTATATAGGACCATAAAAGTGAAAGGCTACTTTGGATTTGAGGTTCAAGAGAAGCTTTCTAGAGGAAGTGAACTGGAATTTGGCTAGATAGATAAGGAGAAGATAAGTGCAGCATATGCAAAGATGTATAGGCAGGAGAATGGATGGTTTATTAGATGGTCGGAGAGTATTTGAGAATGTCAAGATGTGTGATGATGTCAGAGTAGCCTCTAGATCCTAGGTTATGTTCCTGTTTATCATGAGTAGGATGCCCGGATGCTTGCTTTTCACTTGCTTCTTTCAACTCTCTTATGCTATTTCACTCTAATTTCTCTTCACATTTTGGACTGACATTTTGCCCAGTCATTAGCCAAACAGCCCTCTCATTCCTAACACACACACACACACACACACACACACACGCTCACACTCATTCACACTCCTCACACCTGGACTCCTTTGTAAGACTTCACCCTATATAAGTTGAGGCTAAAAAAGATGAGTTCTAAAGATTTTTAAATATTTTATTTGGAAAGCTCTCTGCCCATATGACTCAAAGGTTTGACCAGGATCACTCTTGGAAGAAAAAAAAAAAAACCCTCTAATGCTCTAAATAAGAGAGAGGTTGCCTTTCTTATTATGTTTGCCTTCTACTGGGTATATTGATTTTCCCTGAGCTCTATCAATTCGGATGACAAAGTAAAGATTAAATGGTTCAGATGTCTGGCCTTGGCAGAAGATTTTGCTTTATATGAACTCATCTCATGTTCATTTGTATACTGGAAGCAGCTTACGCTTTGCTTTCAGGTAAAAAATTGGAGACGCAAACAGCAGGGGTGAAGGAAGCTGCATACCTGCTCACAAACTTGAGCACTTCAGAGCAGACTCTGGCCTTTGTGTTGTAGAAAAGGGAGCAGTAAATGTAAACGGTAAATGTAATATCTGAATAATATGATGTAGATATGAATTTTCCTTCATTCTGTGCATTTTTAACAGCCCAATACAGTGAGTCAGACTTCAAATAAGCACTGTGAGTCCAAATTCTAATCAAGTGATGAAAGTGGCTAAAATAATGCAGTAAGAATTGCGGTAGGACATCTTTGAAATATGGAGGGGATGAAATATCAGCCTGCTTTTCCGTACTCAGTTCTGATTCATCATATATGGATGAATTTTTTTCTTTGCTAATATTTTATGAAGTGAAACAAAATCTTTCAGGAGATAATCTACTGGCAGTTCAGATCATCATTACTATTTTCTACCTCCCTTAGCAAAAAGCAGATAATTGCTGGAAAAATAATGAGGGAAATCCATTTCTTTGTTGAGATTTTTTATTTCAAACCTGCTTATGGTGCACTCTAGAAGGAGCTGACCAAGGTTTCAAAACCTAAAATAAGGTCCGAATTACTTTATTCCATCAAAGACCATGAGATGGATGGATCGTCCTTCCATAGCTCATGACACTCTATTCTCATTTTGATTCAGATTGAGCTCAAGTGTTATCTTAACAGCACCTATTCATTCGCTCTGCATTGATCCATTTGGTTCATTGCCAGAACACTCAGTCGGGAGGCAGGTTTATTCATTTTCTTACTATTGCCTTTGTGCAAGCTCTGTTAGATCTCCTTTCTCTGTTCTTGGATAACTTATCATAGCTTTCCAAACATTTGCTGGTATTAACTAACAGCCTTTTTTTCAAGGATTAAGTTCAGTCAAGTCAAAATTCTAATATCTTATCTAATTTTAATCTTCCCCCAGCCAAAAAACTGTAGAGTAGTAGTGAGAGCATTTGTGCTTTATTTCTTTATATTTCTTCTCTTTGCTCTTCCCCTACTCACTATGCTGCGCTGCTTCTGGCTCTTCCAGGGTTGGGGGTAGCATGATAACGGCGGAACAGAAAGGAAAGGGAAGGGGACAAAAGGTTTTATGTGACTGGTTCTGTTTAATCTGGAATTGAAGCCCTTCATACTACTAGAGGCCAAAAGCTGGCCATTTCTCTCACGCCAATGGGGAATCTTGCTTCACTATTCCCAGACAGGGAGGATGTTCTCTCTGGCTGGCCATCTATGAATCCCCTTTAGCATCTATAAGCAATGGTATACCCGGCCAGCTTCTTTCTGTTAGAGTTATCACCCTGCATGCAGTCTTTTTGAAAAAAGACCTTCAAGGCACTTTAGCCCAGCTACTATCTGAGTTGCCCATTTAGGCTAAGAGAACTCAAATCTTTGCCCCATCAAATTCTGGAAGTATAGCTCACTAGCAAACAAAATCCTTTCTCTCCACCCTACCCTAAGAGGTCCCATGTATAGCCATCTTGCCTTTAGATCTACGCAGTCAAGAGTCAGACACCAGCCCCATAAACTCCACTTATCCCTCATCAAGTTCTCTCAGTAACTCTGACCACCCTCCTCTCAAGGCCCAAGGCAATTGCAGAACTTGGAATTTCTGTGAGCACTGGTAAAGATGAGATTAGATGGAGTTGCCCTCCTCCACCCTCTCTGCAAGTGGTTCCCTTGAATCAGGGTAAGAACGGAAAGAGTTTCCTCCCCTTCCCTTGGAGGTCAAAAGGAAACACATGGCAGGTCAGCTCTATGGCAACTCTCTTCAAAAAAAACCCTGCCTCCTATCTCTGTGATCCTTCTCTGGCCTAGCCATATATACAGGCTGAAGGGGAGAGATGGGTTAAAAGTGGTGGAGCTGGCTTAGGTGCCAGGTCTGTCGCAATGTAGTAAATTGTACATCGAGGGTCTGCACCGCTCTTTAGAAAATAGATACTTGTCACCCATTATTCTTGGCATTGAAGTCTTAGCAGAGACTAGGAGAAGTCCCACTTCACATTCATTTACATTTATGTCATCCCTGAAAGCTGTATAAAAAGACTAGCGTCTGACTCTATTATAGTAAAATTCACTCAAACCCATAGAACTAAAGGTTCATGAAGAAAACTGTCAGATTCATAGGCTGGGAATATAGGCATGAAAACTCACTGTCTTTGGGTGCTGTCTCCTCACAATGGCAGCAGACTAATGGGTGTTTTCAACTGGCAAACATTTCTGCAGACCAAGTTTCCCTCTTAACCGGGGAAATGGCTTGTCCAGACAACCGTGACAAGGATTCAGGCGTCTCAAGTGGAGCGCAAATGTGGCCAATGGGATGGAATCACAGCTGAGTCAGAGACGTCTTTAGCTTCGCAGCCAAGCCAACGGCAGTCTTTGTGGAATGCTGGTTAACCAGGCTGTTTGAAAATAAAAATTCAGGAACTTCCCTCAAAGTTATTTTCCTAATTCAAGAGAAAATGACGAACTACCAAGGACCTCTGGTTCCACATAAAAAAACTGAGTGAATCCAGCGGGCTGCTGCAAGAAAGGAAGAAAGTCCTCTTGGAAGCAAGTGTCCATTTGCCATCACTGCAGGCATGATTCCAGAGGGGACCTGAGTTTTAGTTGGCATCACTGAGAGTTTTGATCTTTCATTAGAATTGGAAATTGTTTTTTCCCTAGAAACCACAGGCTTTTAGTATATAATCCAGAATTTAGTGTATAATAGGGGAAAATAGACTGGTGCCCACTGAGTTCGGCAAAGCAGCATAGACTTTAGAGGAGCGACAACAAAATTCTCAATTTTTAATTTTATGGGGAGCCCATTGTGCCCTTCATAGACTCTTCCACATCCGGTTAAAGTTTTAATACTTAAAAATCTTCGTGGCTTACAGAATTTGCAATGATTTGGTTAATTATAGGATCCTATTCACATAAGGTCCATCTATACCTAATTTCATCCTACTCAGACTTAAATGGTAGATAAGAATTGCCTCTCTCAGAAATCCTGGAGGCTCTAGAACACTGAACTAGATAGGATGGTTGGCCTCATTGAACTGGGTATTCTCATAATACCAGACGCTAGACATAATTTCCTAAGAATTCCAGGCTACTTTCTTCATTCTCTTTGGAAAGGTGATAAAACGGTGCCTGTACCCACCCAACCATTTGCTTCTCTTCCTCAGAGCAGATTGTACTGATGACACACACTCAGCCTGGGCAGGTGGTCATTCCTCCAGCATGACCTCCTGGGGCAGACACCTGGTGATTTCTGAATCATCCCCATCCCTTCAACCGAGATGATGAACTTATGATGAGCTACCTTTTGTTTTCCAGTGAAAAACTTAGTCTTACTCAGATTGTCAGTAAATAATACCCAACACTGGCAGCAAATGAATGATGGAAAAGAGAGGGGGGCATGTGGTCAGGTCTAGTGGTTCCATATGGGACTTGTCAGCAGTCCTGTTCTCATTCCCAGAAGCCTCTCTGACTCACTTTGGGTAGGTCACATTATGTTTGCTGGATTTTTAGGGGATAGAAATGTGATTGTGGCTCACTTGGCCTAATGTCTAATGCATGAGTTGTTAATGAGGGACTTTAACCACAAATTCGGGGATTAAAATATTGTCCACACAGCAGGTGAGAAACGAGCCTTTAAACAAGACAGATTTCTGTCAACTGTGAGCAAAACGAATTTATAATGGGATGGGGTGTGAGAGAGACATTTCTCTAAGCGCAGTTATCATGCACTCTGGAAGAAGAATACATAATTTCAAGTGGATCTGTGAGGTTTCTCCCAGATTCACTGAGAGTTTCCTAGAGTCTTTTGAGGTGCTCCTCGCCCTGGGTAGAATAATTTCCTCTTCATGGCTGTGTCAGTTTGGGTCCTCCAAAAAGCAGACACTAAAATGGGATTAGGTGGGAAAGAGATTTATTGGGGCAAATGGCTGCGAAAAGTTAAGGGGAGAGAGCTGGGGTAGCTCAGCTAGTCCATCATATCCATCAGGCGTAAGTCGCAGTGCCCAGAAACCATGACATTTTTAGGAATCCGTGAGAATGTTTTTATTTCATTTATTTTAAAATCAAAAGAAAAAAATTAATTTAATAATAAATAAAATAAGTCCAGCCTAGATTATATTCATCTTTAAGCCAATGCAGTTATAAAACATAAATTTTAATATCATTTCATGGAGAAAGTGGCCCACAACAGTGAAAGTGCCTAAGTTCCACAAAAATCATAATGCAGCTTTGGGTGGGGAGAGCCTTCAGCACAGGGTGGAAGGCTGAAACCTGTGAAAGAGAAGGGCCAGACTAATGGGAGGTTGCTGAAGAGCCCCATCTCAGACAGACTGGCCCTGCTCTGCTTGGTCACCGGCTGAGAACAGCCCAGTGTGGCATGGCTTTGGCACAAACAGCTGGAGGCAGCACATTTACTTGAAGGAAAGGTCAGCAGCCCACCTCCATGGCCCCTGCAGTGAGATATCAAGTGAACAAAGTATTATAGCTTTTCCATCCAGTTCCCACAGTGGCGTATCTTGGAAAGAGATTCAATTTTATCGGTACGACATATTACCAAGGGCATTAAAAAATTCCCCTCTGCCTTTGCCAGTCACATGAGTTCTCAGTAAACAAAAGAGTGTTGCAGAGACTAGCTGCTCACTTACATTCACCATTAGTAAAGTGGTCTAGTGCATTTAGAGGACATTGGCACATGGCCCTCGTTGCACATCAGAGTTTCTTTGATTCTGTTCAGTCTGACGTTCTAATTCCTTCTCTAAAACCCTGCCCCAGGGGCAGCAAATTGGGATCTCATCAGGTATTTCCAGCCTGCAGATGTGTTTATTTGGTACACACAAAGTTTAAAAAATTATTATGGGGTGTATTGTGGGTTGAATTATATTTTCTCAAAATCCACATGTTGGAGTCCTGAATTCCGGTACTTTAGAATGTGCCCTTATCTGGGAATAGGATTGTTGCAGATGCGATTTGCTAAGATGAGGTCATACTGAAGTAGGGAGGGACTCGAATCCATTATGACTGGATTCTTTGAAAAAAGGGGAAATTTGGAACGGAGAGAGACATGCACGAACAGAGGGAGAATGCCATGTGAACATGAAGGCAGAGATCTACTAGTCAAGAAACGCCAAAAATTGCCAGAAAACCACCACAGGCATGTATTTGATTCCCAATGAGACGTGTATTTGATTCTCATTTTAGAGATGAGAGAATCGAAACCCAGACAGATTCAGTAACTTGCTTAAAAGGTTGTGGGGCTAGTAAGAAGTTAAGCAGGATTCAAGCTTAGTTTTTTCAATGCCAAATCCAGACTCTCCCCATTCTGCCTCACCATTTCTCAGTTTCACCAAAATGCTTCTAATGGAGTCCAGATCCCACCAAGACCTTGCCAAGAGTGGTATCACACCTTCCCAATCCTAATCCTATCTGCAGTGTTGACTGACCTACATGTTCTATTAAAGAGGTACAACTTGTCATCTAGTATGAATTCGAAATCTTAGTTTCACTCAAAGAATACACAGTGACATTTTATGTACATTGTAAAGATGTACAGGACAGTTCCTCTGTGCCTTTTTAAGAACAGATAGTATGCTTGGTATGCTGTTAGCCCCCTTATAACTCAAAGAAGGCTTGGAGAAGGGGCCTTCCAGGGTAATGTTCTGTTTTTTGTTTTTTTCCATGACTGTGAAAACTGAAGCACTTTACAGATGATACATCTATCTTTCTATAAGTATGTTTACATCAATCAAAAGCAAGGAAAAGAAAAAGAATGGTTCTTATCTTGTATTTAGCAGAGCACAGTGAACTCCATGTGTTTACCTACCAGCTTCAATGTTTATCAACCCGTGGCCAAACATCTTTTGTCTTTAACTCATTTGCTTCCTCTCCACCACTCCCACTGGATCATTTCAAAGTAAACCTCAGAATCACACCATTTCATCTGAAAAACCCCCAGCCTGTCTTATGCTGTGTTTTCTCTGTGTGATTTTCAGGGCACTACATGTATGTGGACTCGGTTTACGTCAAGCACTTCCAGGAGGTGGCCCAGCTCATCTCCCCCATGACCACGGCCCCCATGTCCGGCTGTCTGTCATTTTATTACCAGCTCCAGCAGGGGAATGACAATGTCTTCTCCCTCTATACTCGGGATGCGGCTGGCTTTTATGAGGAGATCTGGAAAACTAACAGTCCAGGGAATCCTTCTTGGAACCTCGCTGAAGTGGAGTTCAGTGCACCATATCCCATGGAGGTAGGTGTTCCAGGTGTGCCAGGTGTGCCCTGGCCTGGCCACTCTGCAGGGCTGCGGCCCATACTCAGGCGTGGAGGTCAGAAGTTGCAACAGTCTCACGCTCATTCTTCTTTTTCTTTGTGTCTCAATCTTTATTTTCTTTTCTCTTCCCGGGCCCCCTCCACTTCTCTTCCTCCCTCTGTATTCCCTTCTGCCTTCCTCTTTTATCACCTTCATTTTCTAACAAGACTATTTTTTTCTAAGGATGAAATGAAGTAACTAGATTTCTTGGGCCCACTCTCCCTCTGAACCTTGCATTGTGGTCGTGGGAAGTTCAAAAGGGATCAGCGCCTTCTAAGAGAAGCTATCTTTTGAACTTTTATTCCCAAAAGCAGTTATGAAATTTTCCTTTACTTGAGGGAGTAGTCTTTCTAGAGAAAACTTATTTTTTTCTTTATAAATAATATCATAAAAATCAGATAAGTTTATGATTGTGGTCCCAATTTGAAACAAGCTTTGGTGTTTTGTCTTAAAACTTTTTATAGTTATGTGAGTGATAAGTGTCCAATGCAGAAGAATTAGAAAATTCAAGAAAGTAAAACAAACTAAAACAGCCTGGGGTCAACCCTGCAAAGATGAGAGCTACTAACGTGTTGGTGTTTATCCTTGTAGAGCTTTCTTCCAAGCACATATATTTATACATCCCTATATCTATGACATACTCCAGTACTTATAACAATCCAACAAAGTAGATAAAATTATTCCCATATTACAAATGAAAAGGAAAAATGGAGAGTCCAAGAAGTTTGACATTTTTTATCCAGGTCACACAGCTGGTGAGTGCCAGGGCACTTAGAACAGTTTCTGGACTTTATAAAATCTAACCTAAAGCTGAAGGAGGAGGCCCAGCTCTGTCTGAGGACCCCGCTGGACCTCTAGAATCAGTGAGCGCAACATTGTGATTGCAAATTTGAAGCTTTAAGTAGAGTCTTAGTTACCACAGGTTATTAATATCTCCTGCTTTTCCCTTTGCACTTTTTTTGCAATAACTTGCCTAGTTTCCTTTAAAGTGCAAAAGGAGCAGATTATCCTCTGGATGCATTTTAGTGGTGTCATCTGCTTGCCTGATGTGGAGATTCAGAGTGTTGGGTCTTGGTTTCTGACGTGTCCTGTCTACTGATGGTGTGCCTGCCACTCCCCTGATCCACTTCAGATCTCCCTCTGTGCTCCCCGCATGCAACCCCAGAAAGAGCACAGTGCCTTTTGCAGCAACTGTGCTATTTCCTATCCCAAAGGCTAAAGGCCTTGACTTGTTCTTGCAGCCCAGTGGAAAATTTTGTATGTTTGGGTTACAAGGAAAGGGAAATGCACATACTGTTCAGGAATTTTTCCTTCTATTAAAGTCATAACACACACACACACACACACACACACACACATTTTCTTTCCAGACTCCTGACCTCCAACCATAAACTCCTTGGGCAACATTTGTACAAGTGAGACATTGCTGAATTTTTTTAAAAAATCAAAGCTGAAAAATTACAATTCTAGATACTACTAAACTTCAACATGTATCCTTTTGATTCACACATGTGTGATTTTGCTCTAGTAGTTTGAACTTATTATGCTGGTATTGTTTGCTCTCGGTAATTTCCAGGAAAAGAAATATCCTGCAGAAATCAGTGAATTTAATGTCACCATATTCTCAAATGAATTTTAAAAAGGAAAACAAACATTTGAGACCCTATTTCTGAACAAGAGAGCAGCACATGGGCTTTGATGAGCATATTATCATATTCTGATCAGAAATATTCTTACTCGCCCTGCTCGGTAGTATAAGTTCTGCTGTTCACCTTCTTCATCAGCTGGCATCTTGAGAACTAAATGTCATGGACCTGCGTTAACTTGTCAACTTCATTTGCTCCTTCTCATTTGTCCACATCTGTTCCCTTTGTTCTCAGTGCTTCTCACCGTGCCAGAGACAAATTCCAGGTCCCACTTGGATTTTGCAGTCTAGGCACCAAGTCTCTGCAGGACCATTGTTATTAAGCTGAAAGAGACCTTAGGAACCATCTTGTCCAAATTCTTTTTTTTCAAAAATGGAGAAACTGAGACCTGGAAGAGAGAAGGGCCCTGCTTGTGCTAATTTGTGGTGAACTGTGCTTAGATCTGAATATTGAGTTCAGGAGGGCCTCAACATGGTGAGAAAAAGGCATGAATTTACCTCATGAATTCAAAACTCACTATGCACCTGACTGCATTCTAGGACCTTTATATACATCATTTCATGCAATCTCAACAGTCCTACAAGGTTGGAGTTGTTATTCTTATTTTATAAATAAGAAAAGTGAAGCCCTGAGAGGTACCCAAAGTCACCTAGCTTGTCAGTGATGGAAATGAGATTTAAACTTTGGTCTGTCTGCCTCCAAGACACCATTCACTTCAGAAGAGGCTGGAAATCAGAAGCCCATGGATCAGATCTAGCCTACAATGATTTGCCTGACTCTGAAGTGTTTAGTTTTTTGTTTTTTGCTTCTTTGTTTTAATTTTTCAATTAATTGCCAATATTGAAAATTCAAAGCTTTTAAATAAAAATCTAAAGATCCAGATCTTCTTGACAATTTGGTAGATCCAGACATATTAGGTCCAAATCCCCACACGTCAGCAATTGACAAAGCTGACTAGTAGCCATCCCCTTTAGATAGCACTCTATTTCACCACAGTCTGAGTTCTCCGTTTCACCACAGTCTGCACCCTTTCCTGCTGCATCATACAAGCCCTGTCATGCATTTACATGACCTGCCTGGCTCTTGTAGGCATTTGAGTTTCAACCCTTTCTCAACACTTTATCTTCTCGCGCTATCAATTCATAAGAATGGACTGCACACTTGGGTGGTTTTTCCCAGCACAAGTCAATGCTGTGCTGAGCATACCCGATCCCCATGGTCACAGGCAAAGGGTGGTTGATTAAACTCAGAGTTAAATTTGGTGGCAGAAAAAAGAGCAAAACTAAATGGATTGAACTCATTAACCCCACGTTCTTTCTAACCACTCAAACGTGCCTGGACATGCTGAAATCCTAATATCCATGCATAGAATTTCTGGACCTGATTATGCCTTAGCCATCAGGGTAATTGATTGCTGCATCTTTGTCCAAGACCCTCATGTAGAGTAGAATTCCCTGTATGAAAAAGGGAAAGGACGTTGGAGCGGCTTAGTTCTCTGTGAAGGGCAAGGGGAGAACAAGCTTGCTTTCTGCAAGTAGACTGCTGTTTTTTTAATTGAAGTTTATAATGCAATTTGTAAATTCTTGAGTTGTATTAGAAAATGACATAGGTACTTTAGCTGACACTCAAGAGAGGGGAAAAGTATACCAATAAAATACAGTTTAGGGCTTAGTAGTCACTCTTTT